TTCTAACTAAACCTCATGAAACACCACTGCATCCCACTGATACAGCTAACACGATAAACAACTTCTCAAACATAGGATCTAATCTCGCCAGTAAAATCCCACTTACCAATGCCCGTGCCGGGGACTACCTAGATGGGAATTTCCCAAATTCCTTCTATCTTGTACCAACTGAGCCCACGGAAGTCACCGCGATCATAATCACTTAAAAATAACTCGGGGATTCTGTCTCACGTCCCACCATTATTGTACAAGTGAGCAGCCCATGTCCTTTCGCATGCTATTACATTACTTTTTAAAAAACAAGTCACTAGAAACTAGCGCTTTCCCGACACTACTCAAGACAGCAAGGGTTACACCAATACATAAAGGTGGTGACCCTACAGACGTAAACAACTATAGGCCAATATCAAACTTACCATTGCTATCCAAAATCTTCGAGAAACTCGTGCACAGGAGACTATATTCATTTATAACATCACAAAACGTACTCAACCCTTGCCAATTTGGATTCAGGAAAAATAAAAGCACTAATGATGCAATTATAAAAATGCTAGACCTGCTTTACACAGCATTGGAAAATAAGGAATATCCACTAGGAATTTTTGTTGACCTAAGAAAAGCGTTGGACACAGTAGACCACGGCATCCTACTCCACAAACTTGACCACTATGGTATAAGAGGCCATGTGCTTGCATATTTTAAATCCTACCTTCCTAATAGGTATCAGTATGTCACCATTAAAGACACAGCCTCATCAATACGGCCACTTGATACTGGAGTTCCGCAGGGAAGTGTCCTTGGACCCCTGCTCTTCCTCATTTACATCAATGATCTTCCAAACATATCCCAACACCTGACGACACAACTTGTGTCATCTCCCACCCTAATCTTGCCACCCTCAACACCATTGTTAATGAGGAGTTGCTCAAAATATCGACTTGGATGACAGCCAATAAACTTACACTTAACACTGGCAAAATCTACTATATTATGTTTGGTGGCAGAGCAGGTGTTGTGCAACTTAACATTAAGATCGACAACACTCTAATTGCCAGACATAATGAGGGAAAATTCTTTGGCCTATACCTCGACAACAACCTAAATTTCAGCACCCATATCCAACACATAACAAAAAAAGTATCCAAAATGGTGGGGTTCCTCTCCAAGATACGATACTACGTGCCGCAAACTGCCCTTCTCACACTATACCATTCACTTGTATATCCATACCTCACCTATGCTATCTGTGCTTGGGGTTCAACTGCAGTAACACACCTAAAGCCAATAATAACCCAACAAAAAGCCGCAGTAAGAATAATCACTAAATCCCATCCCTGGCAACACACACCCCCACTCTTCATAGATCTAAACTTACTCCCTGTTCAGAACATCCACACTTACTACTGTGCAATCTATATCTACAGGACCTTAAATTCCAATATTAGCCTTGACCTAAAACGCTTTCTTGATAGTTGTGACAGGATCCACAGGCATAACACCAGACACAAACATCTCTATGACATTCCCTGTGTTCGACTAAACCTTTACAAAAATTCAATGTATTTCAAAGGACCTAAAATCTGGAACACCCTACCTGAAAACTCTAGAACTGCAGACACGTTCATCACTTTCAAAACTACAGTTAGAAAACATCTTATCTCCCTGATCCACCCCGACAACTAACTACATGATAACCACCTGGTGGTTCACAATTACACTCACTCACCCACTGACTATAAACCCAGAAATACTAATCTTAATCTTAAAATAATAAATCCTAACTAGTCATAAGCTTGCCTATAATACTCCAATATAGACACTTTGTATTGTGCCAAAACAAAAGCATTCACATTGCTAAACTCACAAATTATGATGTAGTCACTTAGCCTTAATACCATAATCTGTAAGGATTTAATGTTAAGAATTAATCTAAGTCTGCTCGAAATGCCTAGCCATGCTAGGCGTCCTAGTGGCCCCCTCTGTAATTAGTATTTTATAACATGTAAACCACACAATACCCAAAACCTGTAAACCTCACATTGTAACCCTTATAGAGAATAAACTTGAATTGAATTGAATTTATTCCAAATTGATATAAGAAACACGATAAATACCCGAGAACTGTAATAAAGATGCTGCAGTGAATAATATATGCCATATGTGAATGGAGTAGACGGAGGCTGCTGCTCTGGGATAAGATCATAAGATAGATACATTTTTCTCGTCTACACCTCTGGTCTATAACAAAAGAAAACAGTGGGTACATCAGGCAGACACTCCTAGATCACTCTTGTCATACGAAAAAACCCAGAAATAGTGCGATTTTCCTTTTTTTTTTTTTTTTTTTTTTTTTTTTTTTTTTTTTTTTTGTCATATTCTATGCTCTCTGTCTCATGGCATCTTAAGAAAAGATTAAACTCAGTGAGCAAGGTATGTCAATGATGATAATAATAATTTATAATAATTTATTATAATATTAAATAATTGCTCAGGAGCACTTCAGTATCATATGTACGTATTTCATGTAGGTTTCGTAGCACTCTGAGCGATTATTATTTATTATTATTATTATTATTATTATTATTATTATTATTATTATTATTATTATTATTATTATTATTACTACTACTACTATTACCATCGACATACCTTGTTCACCGAGTTTAATCGTTTCTGAAGCTGGCACGATTCGCCGAGAATGTAAACACACTTACGAACACACCATCTAATCTCTTTACTGTGAACTTCTTTTATACTTCTTCCATTTTCCTCTTCTTTTTCCTCTTCCAAGTGTTGCTGCACTTCTAAATCTATCTTCTGCTATGGGATGCACAATAAAGTAGTACACATTTATAGACGAAATACGTAGTCTTGGAGATTGTTTGATGCTGAGACATATCACTAACCCCTTTACAATGAACTTTTTTGTACTTCCAATTTAATGTTGTTTTCAGGAAATTTGTACAAATATGTAGTCTTGGAGACTGTGAAAGCTAGTGTACCGAGTGGCAGTAGGAAGGAGATTGAGATGCTTGATACTGCGCTGCCCATTCATGACCCAAGTTCTCGTACAGTGTTCAATAACTACTCATCAGAGAGCCCATCGTAACTCCAAGTTGTTGGTAAATGAGTACGTTGGTAAGTGAGGAGAGGCTGTGTTGAAGGGTGGAGGGCGGTGAGGGATAAAAAAAAAAGTGACCTCGACCATTACAGAAATTGTTACATGCCTGAAGGGTACCTATAGAGGATCGCTCTTATCCTATGCAAAGGCTAAAAAAAGTGCAGTTTTCTTGAAAAAAAATTTTTCCCAGTAATCAGCTATGCACGCATTTCCTGGGATATCTCAGGAGAAAGTCATTGACCTGTTTCATGTTGTATTACCGTTAATAATAAGGGGTGATTCCTCGATTAACGACGAATTCGTTTACCAATGTGGTCTTAGGAATGGACCACTGTCAGTAAGTGAGGAGAGGCTGTATATAAAACGTATATAATGACGTACTTGTTTACTGATGACTTGGACTTAAGACGGGCTCTCTGACCAGTATGCATACCAAAATAATGCATATTTGAACTGATTTCCTTTATTCTGTTTATTACAATATACAGTGCACTGCTGTATAAACACTTAAAAATATACCAGAAATGTTACAAATGGTGCGGAGGTGACATTAAAACAATATCAGAGATGGTTGACACAAACCCACTACCATTATAGTATGCTCCTCACTTAGCGACAAATTAATTTACCAACATGGTTTTAGGAACAGAACTCTGTCATTAAGTGAGGAGGGGCTGTATTACACATACTATTTTTGTGTTACGATGGCATCTAATAGTAGTTGTGATTAAAAGAAATCTTTAGTTCAGTTGTGAACTCTAAGGAGAAAGTGTTGAATGAATTGAAAGTGTTACACCAGCAAACACTAAAGCTATAAAAAAATGTGATAACCTGGAATAACATGGAATAACTTTTACTTATGTGCATTGAAGATCAAACTAATCACAATGTGTTTTAAGGTAAGTAATGAGTGTGCTGTTTATGCAGTTTACTTTTCTATTTTTTCATTTTAGGCCTAGTTCTATTGCTAACCTATGGTAGTAGCCTGGAACCCACTGTATAAGTGCAGCCCTCAGTACCAGTCTGAGTAGGAAATCTTGTAATGCAGTCAGCTCCTACATGAAACTATTCTTTGTGAGGTTTTGTAAATGCAACTGAATAAGTTCATCGAAAATTTAATAGAATGTATTATAAAGGCCTTTCCATGTGCTGTTCAATATTGAATGTTTTTTTTTTTCAATTGCATTGTACAGATTAACTTCATAAAAGAGCTCACTATATTATTGACTTTGGTAATAGCAGAACTTGATTTTCAGCATGTTCTCATGAATGCTTTATAAATAATCTTGGACATTTATTGGTTTTGTATGAGTAAATTTGTATGCTGTACATTTTAAGGTAGTTTCATTTCATATAATGTAAAATTTTATTAGTGCATAGGTTTATTTCTGTTTTATGAAATATAAACAGTGTAGCCAATACCAAGGAGGTTGTGCTGTATGCTGTTGTTGAGGTAAGCTTGTCTTGTCTGCCTTATTGTGATAATATTTGTGGATTTCATATTCACAGAGAACTCTTGATATATAATTAAACCCTATGAATACTGAGGGGTCCACTGTATATCAGTAAACCAAGACAAAACTAAACAATCTTCTGCTGTGGGTGCCCTCATTATTGTTCATTATTGTTCATTCAATGGCTGTCATGCCGGAAGTATGCAGGCTCTGCGCTTACTGCCTCTAGGACTCAAGTATGGTTAACTGGTTTTATTGAATCCCTTCATAAATGTTACCTTGCTCACATTACAACAGTATGTTTACTTCATTAAATTTTTCTAGGTTACCTCCATCTCTCTCATACATTTCAATAACGATAAACATTAACAAACAAAATATTTTTTATGAAAAGGACAAAATTAATATTGGCCTACAATTTACAGGAGGGTCCCATGATTCATTCTGGAGCTGTAATAGCAGCCGGTGTATCTCAGGGGAAAACGACTTCTTTCAAACATGACTTTGGAGTTTTTGAATACTTTAGGGAGGACCATGAAAAGCGAGATTTTGTATCTGCCGGTGCAGCCGCTGGTGTTGCTGCTGCTTTTGGTGCTCCAGTCGGTCAGTGGATATTATGATAATTGTTTATTACTATGTAGCTAACATTGAAGTCTCATGAAAATTTATGTACAAGTATAGGTCATCAGTGTTGTGTTGTAATAAAGCACTCTCATACTACAGTAGGGCCCCACTTATATGGCAGGTTAGGTTCCAGGCTACCGCCGTAAAGCGGAAATCGCCATCAAGTGGAACACCCCATTTTTAGACTTATAAATGCATATAAATACTAGATAACAAATTTACACTAATATATATTAAGTTAGCAATAGAACTAGGTATTAAAAACAATAAAAAAGTACAATACACATATAGTGCACTCATTACTTACCTTAAAATATTTGTAGTCTTAATCCATGGTGAGACAAGTAGTATTTATTGTAAGAAATCAAGTGTGGTATATATGGTAGTCAGCCGGGCTACCATACCAGGCCAACTCATCCACACATAACATTCTATAAAATTTAAGCATCGCAGAGCGATAAAATGCATAGACAGTGGAACCTCTACTTGCGAGTTTAATCTGTTCCATGACATTGCTTGCAACTGGATTTGCTCGTTTGCAGAGTCGATTTTCCTCATTTAAATTAGCTGAAATGCAATTAATCTGTTCCAGTAGAATTCTGTACTTCAATAATTTTGCTAATATCAACTCTACGGCTTATTTATCTATCTCACTTCATCTAATATGACATAATAAACAATATAAATAACATAGAAACCTGATATATACTCTAAAATTTATAAAATATGTCATTCATGTAGTGGTGTGGGCGGTGTCAGCGGTGGATGAGAGTTTGTCTGGAGACCGGGCAAAATACTTCATGAATAATTTAGCTAATATCATCTATACAGCTGATTTATCTATCACAGTTCATCTAATATGACATAACAAACAATATAAATAACATAGAAACATGATATATACTCTAGAATGAATAAAGTATGTCATTATGTAACAGGTGGAGGTGGCCACAACCGCTCCCTCTTTGTTGTGGTAAACACTGCCATCTAGTGACGGCCGTTTGAAGCTGTCTATTATAATTATTATATGTAGTACATTATTATTATATATCTTTTTTTTTTTTCAACAAGTCGGCCGTCTCCCACCGAGGCAGGGTGACCCAAAAAAGAAAGAAAATCCCCAAAAAGAAATTACTTTCATCATCATTCAACGCTTTCACCTCACTCACACATAATCACTGCTTTTGCAGAGGTGCTCAGAACACAACAGTTTAGAAGCATATACGTATAAAGATACACAACATATCCCTCCAAACTGCTAATATCCCGAAACCCCTCCTTTAGAGTGCAGGCATTGTACGTCCCAATTCCAGGACTCAAGTCCGGCTATATAAAAATAACCGGTTTCTCTGAATCCCTTCACTAAATATTAACCTGCTCACACCCCAACAGATCGTCAGGTCCTAAATACCATTCGTCTCCATTCACTCCTATCGAACACGCTCATGCACGCCTGCTGGAAGTCCAAGCCCCTCGCCCACAAAACCTCCCTTACCCCTTCCAACCTTTTCGAGGACGACCCCTACCCCGCCTTCCTTCTCCTACAGATTTAAATGCTCTCCATGTCATTCTACTTTGATCCATTCTTTCTAAATGGCCAAATCACCTCAACAACCCCTCTTCAGCCCTCTGACTAATACTTTTATTAACTCCACACTTTCTCCTAATTTCCACACTCCGAATTTTCTGCATAATATTTACACCGCACATTGCCCTTACACATGACATCTCCAGTGCCTCCAACAGAATCCTCACTGCTGCATTCACAACCCAAACTTCACACCCATATAAGAGTGTTGGTATTACTAAACTTTCATACATTCCCTTCTTTGCCTCCATAGATAACATTTTTTGACTCCACATATACCTCAACGCACCACTCACCTTTTTTCCCTCATCATTTATATGATTACCCTCATCCTTCATAAATCCATCCGCCTACACGTCAACTCCCAAGTACAGTGGACCCCCGCATAACGATTACCTCCGAATGTGACCAATTATGTAAGTGTATTTATGTAAGTGCGTTTGTACATGTATGTTTGGGAGTCTGAAATGGACTAATCTACTTCACAATATTTCTTATGGGAACAAATTCGGTCAGTACTGGCACCTGAACATACTTCTGGAGTGAAAAAATATCGTTAACCGGGGGTCCACTGTATCTGAAAACATTCACTTCTTCCATACTCCTCCTCCCCAATTTGATATCCAATTTTTCTTTATCTAAATCATTTGATACCCTCATAACCTTACTCTTTTCTATGTTCACTTTCAACTTTCTACCTTTACACACACTCCCAAACTCGTCCACTAACCTTTGCAATTTTTCTTTAGAATCTCCCATAAGCACAGTATCATCAGCAAAAAGTAACTGTGTCAATTCCCATTTTGTATTTGATTCACCATAATTTAATCCCACCCCTCTCCCGAACACCCTAGCATTTACTTCTTTTACAACCCCATCTATAAATATATTAAACAACCATGGTGACATTACACATCCCTGTCTAAGACCTACTTTTACCGGGAAGTAGTCTCCCTCTCTTATACACACCCTAACCTGAGCCTCACTATTCTCATAAAAACTCTTTACAGCATTTAATAACTTACCATCTATTCCATATACTACTTGCAACATCTGCCACATTGCTCCTGTATCCACTCTATCATATGCCTTTTCTAAATCCATAAATGCAATAAAAACTTCCATACCTTTATCTAAATACTGTTCATATATATGCTTCAATGTAAACACTTGATCTACACATCCCCTACCCACTCTGAAACCTCCTTGCTCATCTGCAATCCTACATTCTGTCTTACCTCTAATTCTTTCAATTATGACCCTTCCGTACATTTTTCCTGGTATTCTCAGTAAACTTATTTCTCTATAATTTTTACAATCTCTTTTGTCCCCCTTCCCTTTATATAAAGGGACTATACATGCTCTCCGCCAATCCCTAGGTACCTTCCCCTCTTTCATACATTTATTAAACAAAAGTACCAACCACTCCAACACTTTATCTTTCCCCTGCTTTTAACATTTCTGTCATAATCCCATCATTTCCAGCTGCTTTACCCCCTTTCCTTCTACGTAATGCCTCACATACCTCCCCCACACTTATATTCTGCTCTTCTTCACTCCTAAAAGATGGTATACCCCCGTGACCAGTGCATAAAATTTTCCGCCCCCCTTTTTTTCCAAAAATTTTTAAAAGTTCCCCCAAATATTCTTCCCCATCTCCCTAATACCTCCCTCCCCCCATCTACAAAATTTCCCCTACTCTTTTTTTAAAATGAAAATTTCCTTTACTTTCCCCTAGGTTTTCTTAACTTGTTTAACTCGCCCCAAAATTTTTTTCTTTTTTTTCATTAAAATTTCTTTGACGGTGTCTCCCACTCTATCTTTCTGTTTCCCCTTTTGGGCAACTCTCTCACCCTCTCTTACCTTTCTTTTACTTCCATATACTTGCCCCTTCTTTAAACTTTTGTTTTAAAAAAAACCTCTCATAAGCTAATTTTTTTCCTTTAATCACACCTTTACTTTCTTTCATTCCCCCAATCACCCCTTCTTTCCTCCTTCCCCCACCCCCCCTATAACCAAAAAATTTTTCTCCCCCACATTCTAATATGCTTTTTTTAAAACTCACCCAAACCCTTTTCCAAACCCCGCACTCTCATTTTTCGCATTTAGCCCACCTTTCTGCCAAAAAATTTTGCTTATATCTCCCCAAACTTCCTCCTCCCTTAGTTTATGCAATTTCCTTTTTCCCCCTACTTGTTGTTTGCCACCTTCCTTTGTCCCATTTTCCCTCTTACTCTAACTTTTAAGCTAAAAAACTAAAAAATTGACCGTATATTCAGTTGCCCCTCTTTTTGAACATGTACATCCTGGGCCAAACCCCATAAACCCTTTTTTCCCACCAATTCTTTTTTCAAACAAACTACTTTAATAGTGGGAAATCATCCCTTGGGTAAAATTTATTTTCCTCTTTTTCAAAAATATTTTTATTACTTATTCCCAAATCTCTTTCTACACATAGCTAAATTTTAAAGGCTGCTTTTTACATTTACCCCTGACACCCCCAAAATTTTCCTATACTTCCCCCCATTTCATATTTTAAGGGAAAAAAAGGGGTAAATAAGTTTACAAGATATGGGGGGTGTAGGACGAAATGACAGGTTTGTTTGTTGTATTATGTTTTTGGTAGATAAAAAACTGTTGAGTGGGTTTAGGGGTGTACTTTTTTATAGAGGGGGCCCAGATAATCAGAAACACTTTTTTAGTTGTAGCATACACGAGAGTAAAAGGGAGATGGGATTTCAAAGGGGAATAGAAGTATCAGGGAAGAGGGGGTGAAGGTTTATAAACTAAAAGAGGAAGGGAGTTAGGGTAAAATATAAACAGTTTTGGAAGGGTAGGGTGGGGGTAATGAGAGCAAAAGGCAATGGGGGGCGAAAAGGTATGGGTAGGTTTTAAAAAAGTAGTGTTAGAAATGTTCAGGGAGAAGTTTGTTGTTACGGAAAGTGGGTGGGGAGGGGGGAAGGGGGAACGTTGGGGAATGAAAGATGTTTAAAAAGAGTAGTAAGGGGAAGGGGAAAAAATTTTCCCTATGAGAAGTTTTTGCAAAGTTGTAGGGTGCAAGGAGGGAAAAGTTATGGAGAAAAAAAGAGAGGGGTTTAAGGGGAGTGGGGAAAACAATGTAAAAAGGAAAAGCAAATGGGGGAGTGGGTGAATGTTATCAAAAAAATTTTGTTAAAAAAAGAAAAAAAATTTTTGTAGTGAGATTAACAAGTTAAGAAAGCCTGATAAAAAATGGATTTGTCAGTTTAAAAAAAGGGGGAGGAGAGTTATTAAATGGAGGTTAGAGGGATTGGAAAGATGGAGGGAAATTTTTTAGGAATTTTTTAAAATGTTTATGAAGATAGGGAAAACTTGATTTTTGTGTATAGGACAAGGAGGAATAACATCTTGT